ACCTTGGAATTTGTTATATCATGTGTACATATGAAACTGAGGTGCATGTATTAGGGCTCTGGTTTAAATGACTTGATTAAACTTATAATGATAACTGATGTGTCGATGTATAAAACATTTCGTCCTTTATATTTCTGAATATGACATGCTTCCCTCCAACATCAACAATAACGATATCAAACCTAGTGTAATCCCCCAAAGTGGGGTCTGGGGAGGTTTCTTCCGTCCAACATCATGCTTGTAAATCAAATGTATTTAACGGGATATATCACATTGTCATTTTGGTTTTTCACGGTGCTTGTAATTGCAATTAAGCTGCCAAAGGTACTTTTGACCAAATTGTATGTCCATGTTTGACCTTCAAGATGGTTTTTGGAGAAAAAATGAATTGATGAATATTTTCCTCTTCCCTTTTTTTTTTTGTGATAACAATAGTTTCTGGGCCAGCTTGCAATACTTTGCTATTTGCACTGAAGTCCTTACAATCACTGTTTGCAGAATCTCTTCTTCCAATTTGTAATACTGAAATAGCATTTAGTGTTCTTTGATAGAAATCCTTGCTGATAAGCTATTGAATTTCATATATTTTAGGTATGTAGATCCTCAATGGGCATATATGTGACTTGAATGGATCTTTTTCTTCACTGATTTTTTGATAAAATAATTGGTGCTCTATGCTTCCAAACATTACCATGGTGACTGCAGGGATGTTTTTGAGGCTCGGGATTCTGAGTACAGAGCTTGGGCTTGTGTTCAAAGTCTGAAGACTTCTCTTGATGAGCACAATTTGGAATTAAGAGTGAAATCTGCTATCGAAGCCGAGGCTAACTCCCAGCAGAAGCTAGCTGCTGCAGAAGCTGAGATTGCAGAGCTGAGACAGAAGTTGGATGCTTCTAAAAGGTCTGTTCAACCACTTGTTATATTGAATGAAGAGTCATCATAGTGCTGTTGGTAGATCATTCAGAAAATTGTCTGTGTGTGCTTAAACCTAAGATAACATCTTCCTTTATAGGAACTGAAATTATTATGATATCTTCCTAAATAGGAGCTGAAATTATTATGTATTCCCATACATGAAAAACTCTTAAGTCGAAAGTAATGGTTGAAGGGGCACAAGTCCACTATTGGTAGTAAGAGTGGATTTTAGCCAGGTTGTGAGGATACCCATGCGGGCTTCATTTCACTTCTAGCATGTTTACCAATCAAAGTTGCAGTAGTGGAATCTTGTATTCACCAGGAGATCTTGATGGTTTTAGGAGAGGACCTTGGGCTTTGGAGAGAAAGATGGCCCTGGAGAGTGTTCGGGGATTTACTGAATATTCTATGGTCCAAGCTTCATGGAATTGTCGAGATGGAGATTTTGAGATCCACACCTTCGCTGCTGATGTATTGTATATAACTGGTCAGTTATGTTGGGAGAATGAATCTTTTCTAGGATGCTAGTTAGTTATGATGCTTAGGGGCGTTTGACCTGGATTTCACCAGCAGGTCATCTGAGTCATGAGATTCTGAGATAATTGCTGTAGTCGATGCTCATTACGTTCTTCCATATACCTGTGGGCTTATTTTTCTAGCTTCTTTCATATAAATTGGTTCAAGATTGCAACGAGCAAGTAATAGGATTATTTGCATTTTTAGTGTTGAGAAGCTTTAAAATATATATGGTCTTTTTATCAATTTGATAGAACTCTTCTTTTCCTTGTTCCTTTTTTGATAAAGTAGTAAAATTCATTAAAAAAGGGCAAAAACTCGCCCGTATACAAGAAGTATACCAATAAGTCGAATTTTCCTTGTTCCTTGTAATAATGAATTAGCGTCGTGAAGAATATTCACAAAGATTGTTAGTTCTTGTTACTTCAGGGAACGGTCTAGACTCTCGGAAGTCTTGAAGTCCAAGCATGAAGAAACTGAGGCCTACCTCTCTGAGATTGAGGTCTGTTTACTGCTTAACTTGTATGTGCTTATAGGTCAGTTGTATAGAACACTAGCTTTGTAAAACAATCTGAAAGATTAGAGAGATTCATTTGTTCCAGACAATTGGGCAAGCCTACGATGATATGCAATCACAAAATCAGCAGCTCTTCCAGCAAATCACAGAGAGAGATGATTACAATATCAAGGTAATATATCTGACAGGAATGCCTTCAATCTGTTATCATTTGTGTAAATTTGGCAAAAATCTTCAACTAATTTATGTACCATTAGTTACTTAAAGGTACCATTAGTCCTCCCTATTTGCTCTAATTGGTGAATTCTGTTATTTGTTGTCAGTTAGATGCTTCATGAATCAATTAACTTCTTCATGTGAAATAAAGTTGCATCTTGGTGGAGGAGTCAGTAAAATTAGGGAGAAGCATGGTTTTGGTATTTCTCTTCAGACTTTATTTGTCAGATGGTTTCGAGTGATTAACTTTTGCTTTTGGTTTTACATCATATGACAAGGAGAATAAGTGATTGACTAGGGGTGTTCAGTGTCCCTGGTGAATGGTTTACACTGCTTAGGGGTGTTAATATTTTCTGATGCAACCTTGTTACTACCTCTATATTGGTTTACCATACCAATTAGCTCTTTTCCGTCTAACTGCTCACCACTACTACGGTACTACCCCTCCAGTGACCCTGATCTACATTTTCCGTTTTCATCAGTGACGACAACCCACCATACCTGGTTATTTCCTTTCTTTATCGGTAAAGATAAATATTATTAATATTTAGCGATAAGAGAGTGCTATAAAATATATACAAGGGGCAGCTTCATTACTTACACCAAAAATAGAGTAGAGAAATACATCTGTATTTAATGCTAATTACAGCTTTGGATTTGCTTTCAGTAAACATATTGACTTGCTGCTACTTCCATGGCTATCTTTCATCAGCCATTACTCTCTTATGCGTATTTATTTGGGGAAACTGCTTAGAATGTTTTCCACTGTCCTAGTTTTATGCTGGTTTTATCCTTGCCCATGGTTTCCACCTTCACAGCATTAGTTGCTTTTCTGTGACCACTATTTTAGACACTTTTCCGTAGCTTTGCATTGATATTTTGGATTTTTAAAGGAGTTTTTTATCCACGATGTTTTAAGGAGTTTAGTTGTATCAGTTCAAGATCTTCGAGGATACTCTGAGAAACATGCTTTACATGATTGCTGGATTGCACACTCTGAATAGTTATCAGTCTTTGCATTTCTATTGTGTCGGGTTTCTACTGCTGCCAATTTAGTACTATCTGATAAGTTTATCTTCTGCTTCTTAGCTTGTTCTAGAGGGACTACGGGCAAGACAGCAGCGGGATTGTCTGGCCTGGGAAACTCAAACCATAGAGAGAGCGGTTGAAGATGCCAATACAGTGGTCAGTTTCTATGAAATGAAAGCTGCCAAAGTTGATGACCAGGTAATTGGGGATCTTCTTTGGAGTTCCAAATGTTTTATATTGCTGCAGGGACTTAAAAGTGTGTTTGTTTCCTTTCAGTTGAGGGGATGCTCAGATCTAGTTCAGAAACTTGCTGAAGATAGGATTCAGAGTTCTCTTGCTCTGGAGAACACCCAAAAACGGTTGTTAGATGTAAGAAAATCGTCCCAGCAATTGCGGGAGACACTGGAAGAATTGCAGTCCAAGATAGACAAAAGTCGAGTTGATCTTGCAGAGTTGCAGATAGAACTAGAGAAAGAGAGGTAAATTGGAGGTTAATGTTTGTCTGTATCCCGAGTATCAATTTAGCTCGTAAACCAATAGTCTCTTATGCATTCCCTTATTATCTTGTCCTCGCGTTACTTGACTAGGTTTGAGAGGAAAAGAGCAGAGGAGGATGTAGAAGCTCTGAGGAGAAAGACTTCACGGTTGAGGTCACACATCGAAGGGTCATCTGTTATTGAGAAGCTTCAGCAGAAGCTAAGGGAATACAAGGAAATACTCAACTGTAGTATTTGCTTTGATAAGCGAAAAGAGGTAGGACCAACTGACCTTTTTCTTATTTCTTTGGTCGATCAGCATCTGGTAGGCGAAGCTGAAAACACATGAAATGCCACATCTGTTGTAGGGTCCACTGTGCAAGTTTCTGATACTGGCAGCAGAGGGGATGAAAAGACGATGGGTTCTTAGTTTAGATTGGTTATTGAGATAATAGTATGCGCTATCCAAGAGATTCTTCAGTGATGAGATTCTATGGTTTTAAATATTGGGAACAACCAGAATTAATGAGACTGAATAGTACATATAACCAAACATGTGCTTGGCAGTAGGCTAACTGCAATAGAGATATTAAATTTGTTAGGTGATCTTGTCCGATGTGGATAAGCATAGTGATAGACTGATACTTCCACCATTTTGTGAGATCATAAGAGATTCTGAATGCCAACTTATTGCAATGATTTGTTCTCTTTTTGCCACGGTGGTAATAGAACTAGTTTTCTCCAAATAATTTTTTTATATAATGGTGTAGCATTTGGCCAGTTTGCGTGCACCTCGACTATTCCACCAGGTACTTGTTACCTCCCACTAGGATAGATATCGAATATCTTTGCCTACCAAGGACTTGGGTAGATGGAAATAAATCACCTTTTTGTCTTGGCTGCGATTTGAGCCCTAGTCTCCAAGGTTTCCACCCACTTTATTGACCCCTAGGCCAGGCATCCTTGGGTGTGTGTATTTTTCTCCAAACATGTAATAATCTCCTTATTGAAGAAAGAATTTAACTTTGCTCTGACTCTTTCTACTGATAACTGTTTTACAGAGAGCTAAGATATCTTTATTACATTACAGGTTGTCCTCACGAAATGTTTCCATCTCTTTTGTAATCCGTGTATCCAAAAAATTGTTGAGACTCGTCACCGCAAATGCCCTGTGTGCTCTGCAAGTTTTGGAGCAAATGATGTGAAGGCTGTTTATATCTGATAAGAAACATGAGAATGTTCGTTATGCCACTGGTGAATCAAGATCATCATCCAGTGATGGTCTGGGCATATTTACCCAGGTAATTACATAAAAAAAGAAAATTCTGCTGATGGTTGAAGTTGATGGTCTGCATGGACTTGCTGGTGCTGGTTCAAAGGTTATTGATTTTGTTTTAAGTTTTTGCTGGTGCTGTCCAAAGTTGTTGATTATGTTAATTTAACTTTCCTTTCTGTTAAGTGTAGGCACTTAAGTTCAGATTTTTGGTTACTAAGTGCTAGAGTAGATGCAACGCCTCAAAGACAAGCGCGTTGAAGCCCCCCCCTCCCCCCCTCCCCCCCCTCCTTTTATTTATGTAGTGTTTATTGTTCATAGTTGCTGCCTGACTAGGTATGCAGTTCAAGTCTTTTAAGAAAATTAGGTCCGGTCAGTACGAACATGTTCTACCTTGACATTCGCAACTACAACTGCAAGAGGCAGCATTAAGTACACTTGTTGCAGAAGGCCTCTGCTCAGGACCTGTCAATTTCTTAGCAATTTCCTCACAAGGTGCATATGATTAATCTTCTCTTTTTTCATTTGATTTACCATGGTCTTGCGTCATCAGAATAAGAGGACGGCTAGTGGATAAATAATTTTGGGAATTCGAGAAATGTTTGCTCATTTTAGCAAATTTATTTTGCTCTGCTGCTTGGTCAAGTTTTACAAAACAAAATAAACATTTCCAAAAAAGATAAGAATCAACAGCTTGAAAGTTGTTTTTGGGTGAAAACAACTATTTTAACTTCGGAAAAGGGTCAAATATATTCCTCTACTATTGAAAAGGTTTAAAAATATCCTTCGTTAGACTATTTCGTCATCTCAATCCCTATCGTTATACTATCATTCAAATGTACCCCTTAATTGGACGGATGGTCATGTGTCTTCATCTCAATCCCTATCGTTATACTATCATTCAAATGTACCCCTTAATTGGACGGATGGTCATGTGTCTTCATAGGATTAAAATGACCCATCGTCCTCTTCTTTTTACCTGCCTTACCATAACCCGACCCAAAGTCGCCCCCTTTGACAAAAAAACCCCTAAACGATAGATTTGAGAAAATGCTTCAATTCCAACTCACCCCCCCCCCCCCCCTCCCCCCCGATTTCCTACAAACTCTGCTAATTTCCTCTTTGATTCCTTAAATCTCTCCCTAAAATGGCACCAAAGGCAGGGCTTGCTTTGATGATGGGTAGAAAAAATTCCTGATTTTCTTTCCTCGGCGAATGAAGTTTCTGCCCTTGAAAACCACATGACTGCTCCTGAAAGATAGATGAACGAGGAAAAAGCCAGCTTTTGAAAAATCCCGCCCCTGAGAAATCATCAATGGCCGGAAAGAAAATTCCCAAGGATGGTGCTGCCGTTGCCGGGGACAAGAAGAAGAAGAGGGCAAAAAAAATCAGCTGAGACTTGCAAGATCTTCAACGTTTTGAAGCGGGTTCATCTCGATATAGATATCTCAAATAAAGCCATGGGTATCATGAACAGTTTCATAACGATATTTTTGAGAAGCTTGCTCAAGAATCTTCTAGATTGTCTAGGTACAACAAAAAGCCTACAATTACTGTTGTGAAACTTGTGCTTCTTGGTGAATGCTAAGCATACTGTCTCGGCTATAATTTTAATTAGGATTTGTTGATGTAAAGAAGAAAGATGGGTTAGCTGTTGGTATGATATTTTGCAGTTCTGCATTTACAACGATTTTCCCTTGTGTTAATCGTGAAGTGTGAGAGAGAAATACTTGTATTTCAGAGTAACCCCCAGGAACATGGAAGATTTGAGCAAATACTTGCTCAATTTCTTCTCAAAAGCTTGCATATTATATTGGACTCAACACCTATCTCCTAATTTGTCTGATCCAAGCAGGCATTCGCTCCCACCCATGTCACCTAGAAGCACAAAGTATGATTCTTCATATCATGAATCCCCTTCTGGAATCAGGTCATCGAGAAAAATGTATTTGCCAAGGAAGATATACAAGGTGAAATGAGGCTGTCTATCCTTCACTGTTTTTTTTTTCCCTCAAAGGAGGTGACTTTGGGTGGGATTATGGGTAGAGGCTAAAAGAATTGAACTGGGTAAAAAAAGGGGATGAGTCATTTTAGTCCGGTGAGGGCACGTGGCAGTTCGTCCAATTGAGGGGTATAGTTGAATGATAGTATAACGGTAGGGGTTTAGATGACCAAATAGTATAACGGAGGACAATTATAAACCTTTTTCGGTAGTATAGAGATATATTTGATCCTTTTCCGTTATAACTTTAAGAACCAGCAGATGTGTTTCAGCTTTTCGTAAAATTATCCACGTGGTATTGGACGAGACAGGCCCAAACACCAGGAGTTGGAAGGAAGTAGGTAAACACTTTGATGTTGTCTAGACAGGTTAACTCTTGGAGTTGTAATTATGTGTGTGTTTATTTTGACTTGTATCGAGTAGCGTTTTATTGGAAAGCATAATCAAATTATACAAGCTCTTATGTTTTCTGGTGCTTCAATTGAACATTGCCAAGTAGTGACAATATTCTCGTTGTCTGATCTGTTAGTTTGTAAAGTGTTTATAAATTGTGGAAGTGTATTGAGTGTTGTCGGCAAATTTTTTATCGTACCTGCTATGTCGCACAAATTGATTTGTTATGGTTATCGAAATCTGCTCTTTTATTTCATTATAGGTTTTGGACCGTGCATTTAACCAAAGGCATAGCTGTCTCATTCATGCATACCTTTGCTTCAGTAAGCTGTTATGAACCGCCCCAGATATGTGTTTAGTCGCATGTAATTCATTGGGGAGACCGGGCTTTTATGATCACCCATGTTCTTTTAGTGTATCAGTAAAATATAACACATGGGATAGAGATTTTTGTATGTCATATATTCATATTCAAATTGTAATTGGTCATGGGTAGATCATATCCTCTCATGTTGTATGTGACTTGGACACTATTTCCTTTTTGGGGAATTAACATCTTAAGCAAATCATTGAGCTAGTGAAATTTGGTCACTTGACAAATCGAAGATCAACGCTTTAAGCTAGACAAGTACCAAATTAATTTTATAGTGACAGATCTGGAAATTAAGCTTCCTTAGTCAAAGTAGGCATTGAAGAATGTCTAGGCCTGGAATCATATTATAGAGATAACTTTACATATGTTTTTAGTTTCCATTTGGTATTCGGTATCTGCGTTGAGACTAAGCCTGTTCAATGGGTCGGGTTGACCCGTTTCCGAACCGGTAGTTAGGGGGCCGGGTGAGCTGGGTTAGGGTGGCTGGTCCGTTTAAAAAAGAAATTCGGTTAATTGGATCGGTCAAGCCCGGCCAACGAAAAATGTTGTTGAATCGTTAACTCGTCCCGGTCCGGACCGGTTCAACGACTATAAATTTGTTTTTTTTTTTAAAGTGGTATGACCGTTGGCAACGGTTCGCTTCAATTTGGCAAATAGCCCTAATTTTTTTTTTAAAAATAACACTTTTAGTAATTACTAATTTAGCCATTTGAAAAACTATAAATATCCCCCCCCCCCCCTCTTCTTCATTTCTTCACTCATCTCTCATTTCTCAAACTCATATTCTCAATTATCATTCTCTCATTCTTCAACTAAAGTGCAATCAACTATTTGGCTCTTATTTTTTTTTGAATTTAATTTGTCGTATTATTTATTATTTGAAGTTTGAACAATTGAACTTCAAACTTTGAACAATTGACGTTTCTTCGCGGTAATGCTGGAGTTGCGAAATCATCAAGTGTTCAATTTATTGTCGAATTCGGTGCACTCCCTCCAACTCTTTCTCTTATTTACTATTTATTTGCATATTTAATTTTGCTAGTAGTTAAATTTTTACAATATGTTTAATGCTGCAAAAAGAGTTTGTAATAAGGTTGCTAATCAGCGTAATCAGAGAAATAGAAAAAGAGGTACTACTTCAACATCTGGTAGTAATTTAAATGACTCTACACATGTTTCTGAAACATTACCTGATAGTAATATAGATTATGAACAATTACAGGAAAATTTCGGTACAGAAGATAATGAATTAGAAATTGAAGATGAGACACCACTTACACCTAGTAGTGTTGGAGTTGGTAGACGGGGGTGGTGGTCGTGGTGCTAGTAGTAGACCACCTGTGGCCCCAACTACTAATCGGAGAAAATGAAGTAAGGTTTGGAATTTTTTTGACGAAATAGAGAATATTGATAGAGTTAGATGCAGACTTTGTAAAGATGATTTTAAACATAAGACTGGAGGACAATTAGGGGGGGACTGGGACACTTGGTAGACATATGAGAATTGAGCATCCTATAGAATGGGCTCTGATTTAGATGAAAATCAAGGAACTCTAAACCCTAGTACTGGAGGACTTATTAAATATGATAAAATGAAGGATCGTGAGGAGTTAGCAAAAATGATTGCTTTGGGTTGTCTACCTTTTTCTTTTGCTTATTCATCATATCTTATTATGTATATACAAAGGATTTATAATCCTTTATTTAAAGGTATCCCTAGAAGACTTGTAGATCTGATATCTTTAGACTTCATGGACAATATTAAACATACATACATTTTTTGTTTGACCACCTTCCTTGTAGAGTTTCTCTAACTTCTGATATTGGCCATACTGTTAATGGAAATGATTATTTGACAATTTCATGTCGTTGGATAGATGATAATTATTGTATGCAAAAATATATTATCGCTTTTAAATATGATGAAGATCAGAGTCATACTACTATGTTTATAAGTACTACTATTTGCGAAGTTGTTGAATTTTATAATCTTAAGAAAAAAGTATTGTGTATGCCTTTTGATAATGCTTCTAACAGTAATGCCGCAATTTTAATATTAAGACTGCTTTTGCAAAACTACTTGACGAAATTTTTCGTGTTAGGTGTGCATGTCATGTTTATAATTTAATTGTTAAAAGTGGCCTTGATTTATTTTCAACTGAGAGTACTCATGTTAGAAGAGCATTTGGTGTTATTCAAGGAGATAATAGACAATCTAGAATTAGGGAGTTTAAGAATAAGCGTACCGAGCATAACATTAACCCCAGATTCTTGCCAGACGAAATTGTTACTACTAGATGGAATATACATACTTATTTTTAAAATGTTGCTACAAATATAGTTTGCCAATAACTGAAGTTGCTAATGCGCATTGTACTGATCAAACCGTATATTAACAACTACTACTTGGGAGGCCATTAATGATGTTAAATTTTTACATATATTTTATACAGCTACTGTTGAGTTTTCTGGAGTATATTACCCTACTATTACTATGGCTTTAGTACATATAGCTGAATTTTTTTTACTCTCTGAATTTAAGAAGAAAGAAAAATATAAGGATGCTGTTGAAAAAATGCAAGCAAAATTCAAAAAATATTTCTTTCCAATTCCTCCGATTTACTTAATTAGTGCCGTTTTAAATCCTTCTATTAAGATGTCTGATTGTCACCAATTAACCAATGCTTTATATACTTATATGGAGATTGGACCAACTGAAATCCTAGATATATATTGTTGTATGAACAAGCTAAACGATTATTTACAATAATTATATAATTATTATGCAAATAAAGTTGATGATGCTGCTCTTAATGTAGGCAATGTTAATCCCACTATGCATTGTACCACATCTACTACTATAGATGATGATGAAGGCCTTGATGGTTTTAATGTTTGGTCTACATTTCCTACCACTCAAACCAGTAGCAGGAACATTGATGAACTTCAATTCTACTTGCAAAAGCAAAAAGAGCCTTGCATAAAGGAATTTTCACTGTTGGGATGGTGGCATGAGAATGAAAAGCAACTTCCTGTTCTTTCCGATATGGCTCGGGATGTGCTGAATGTGCCAATTTCAACTGTTGCATCAGAGAGTGCATTTAGTCAAGCAAGACAACAATTTGGAGATACCCGTCACTCATTGGGAATCAATGCTTTGGAAGTTTGGTATGTTTCAGATATTGGATTAGATCGGAACGAAGAAATCAGGGACGTGAAGTGTTGATAGACCAGAAGACAAGGAACTTGGAGATATATTACACATGGTAACCCATCTGAATTTTAACACTCCAGAAGATGGCCAAGAAGTTCATATTGTTTATGAAGAACTTACTAAGGCAATGCAAAACCTTTTAATTTACTCTTTTTCCGTTAATTTACTTGTTGTTAAATGTAAACTTCAATTTGTAAGTTTGAAATAAAAAAAGCACTTGCAAAGTGCAATTTTTTTTCCATCTTCATTATATTCTGTTATCTTAAATTCTTAATGTAATATTCAAAATTTCAAATATAAAGATTTTAAAGTCTTTGCATCCTTTTATTCAAACACTCTTTTTATAAGATTGTTTTTTTTGTTTTATATTTTATATTAATATTGTCACGACCCCAACCCCGATCGTGATGACGCCCAACACATTGCTAGGCAAGCCCGACCAATTATCAATCACAACCCCTCTCGTATAGACTTCATTACCAATTAACAGGGTTTAAATGCCAATTCAACATAAATAGAAGTCTGAAACAGAAGATAAAATGTGCGGAAATCATAACAATATCTCTACAATAGCCCCACCAATCCGGTGTCACAAGTCAAGAGCCTCTATCACAAGATTTCAACAGCCTAATACAGAGATAGTCTAGAATACTGAAAAATAAAAGATAGAGGGAGAAATCGGGTCTGCGGACGCCATGCAGCTACCTCGATAACTCCGGTGGATGATGATCAGCAGG